GAAGAAAATATTGACTCAGATAATGTGCTTTAGTGAAAATCCATGGAAGAAATGTTCTTGGCCTTCTGTCTTGACAGCAATAAAAAAAAAGCTTGATGTAAACAATATTACACTGATCTTAACAAGCAAGATAAACTAGAAGGGCATGATCTTTGACATTTAGAAGGGAAAAAAACAGAAGAGATTTCAAGTGAGATTTGATATTTAATTTAAAGAGAAGACAGAATAAGTCTAAATAGCTATCAAGGGTCATAAGTGTTATCCTTCTTAGTGAATATATAAAAAATGAACTTTTGGCCTTTAAAAATAAGTCTGAAGAAGATAGATAAAGGTTATTTTTTCATTTGAAATTGTCAGTGCAAAGGTTGGGCTGGGGAGACACTGCAAACCTTCGATGGCAATTCTGTTGTCAACAAGAACTTCCTGGGTGCCTGCTGCTGTGAGTGAGCTCAAATCTGAAATTTGAATTCTTTAAAAAATGCACAATATGTTAAAATCCATCAACAACAAGAATGAATTTGTGTGGAATATTCTTTGTTTTTGTTTTTATTACTTATCTTACAAATTATTTTGATAGTTGGCTATTTAATCTTTACAACAGGGTAATTTCAAGTAAGGCTTTCTAATTAAACAGACAAGGCAGACTTAAAAAATGGTGAGACGCTCAATTTTGAAATTTACTTTCAATAATTTAAAAAAAGACAGCCTAAAGCAGCCTTTATGTTAGTGTTAACTTGTAAGCCACTGAAATATTTCGCACTGATTTTTTTCCTTTCAACATTATGACAGAAATATAGAAATGTCTCAACATTGTTATGCTTTGCTTAACCTGAAAGGTTACAAATTAAATATATATATATATGTATGTGTGTATTTATGTATCAGGTTTTAAAACAAAATTAAGCTTATGATACAGTAATAATTCGGCATATTTCTTAAAAATTAACGTTATTGAGTTTAATTTCTTGTCTTACCAACTGTATCACCATTATAATGAAAAAATAACTTTTTCCACATGTCCTTCTGAAATAAACATACTTCTTTAGGTCATTATGTGAGTATGGAACTCTTGACAGGTGCTGTGTTTGAGTTTCCAAATTCTATTCTGAATCCTTTATAATTATTTCAAAGGGTAACTTTAAGTGACCAGCAAATGAATTATGAAATGTTTTTGAAAGAGGTAACATTTTTGCTGTGTTAGATATATAATCTATTTACTATGTACATGTTTGAGTATGTGATCTCATTTTATTGTGTATCAGATCTCATGATATATCATCCATTTTCTACAGACCCATGATTGATGTACAGTTAATATACATATATATGAATTTAATATCAGTCTTGGATATTATGTGACTATGAAAATATTTGAATATGTTTAGGAATATGAAATTATGTATATATATAGTTATACTCTTTCTATATTCATTTGAGTTAGTAGACAAGATAAATGAACAGTAATCAAATATGTCATTCAAACAAAGTGCTGCCAATTTTGAATTACAGGCATAGAAACAGCTGTGGGTTTTAGGAGTTAAAATAATTCCGCAAAATATCCAGACTAAATTTATAATGTTCATTCAAAAGCTGTTCAATCTGACTGTGCAATGCAGGGAGCCATGCAGTCGGGTCGGATGGCATGGGTGTGTGATGAGCACTGCTCTGCAGTTAGCAAGGCTGCGAGGAGTTTCTGGCTGCTAGACAAGACCTGGCAGAATGTCTCTGGTCACCTCATTGCTGCCTCACCCCATTGTATGGCCACTCAATCACCTCTCTGATGTTTCAAAAATTCTCCTGAGGGTGTTGTTGCTGTTTTTTTGCAAATGTGAAATGATTCCTGTAACAGGTATAAAACCTCAAACTGATCAATCATGTTGTGGTAAAAGCATCTTTAGCGACATAGGGCTAAAAACATACAATAGTACAATTGAGCCTACAATGCCTCCAAACATTCTGTTATGTGCCCACCTTTGTCTTGGAGCTTGCCCTAATGTAAGTAATGTTTTTCTTAAGAAATGGCTTGATAATATTTTGGAACAGAATGCAATCATGGAAGCACTAAGAGTTATCATGCACCTCGAACTGTTACAACCCATGAAATGACACATTTTGGTTTCTCACCACAAAAAGCAGAACGTATATGGGGCATTGTCTATAGAGAGACAAATGTGAAACTCCTCCCCCACCCTGCCAATGACTTAAAACTTCTACCTTATATTGGCACTTAGATTTAGGGAAAGAAAACAGTTTATGAAGACAAAAAGGGGGTTTATTGTAAAGGCCCTCTGTTTGTAGATTGGCTGAGTTGCCCTGATCCCTTTCAGTGCCCTTTAATGAAAGAACAAAAAACAATTGAATCAGCACTAGGTGAATATGATGGTAATCAATGCATAGTTGATTATAGGATTTAATATAGGATTTATGTTATATGCTTTTATACATTCCTTTCACTTATGAGCTTTCTTTTCAATTCTGAATTAATTTTTTTTTAATTTATTTGACAAGCAGAGGGAGAAGAGAAGGCAAGAGAGAAAGGAGAGAAAGCATGAACCTGAACCAGTGTGAGAGAGATAAAGAGAGAGAGCACTTTCCCATGTATGGTTCACCTCCCAAATGCTGACGACAAGCTGGGGCTGCGCTAGGCTGAAGTCAGGAACCAGGGGTTCTTGTGTAGGTTTCTCAGGTATTTGGGCCATGAACTACTGCTCCATAGGGATTCAGTCACAGCCATTGCTGCATGGTACACAGTAAACATTCTAAATGATGACTTCAAAGTCTGTGCCTCCATTTTGATCCTTGTTTTAAAAATTCTGACTTAGAGTTCATTCTCTTTTGTTTCTCCATTGTTTTACCTCTGTCAAATAATCACAGACATTCCTCCTGTGCTCGCTCAGCTGCTATCGCTTCCATGAAAGCATGACTTATCTTGATTTTAGCTTTATGAATTTGCATATTAATCCAGTTTGCACCCTCTTAGGGCATGAGGGTTATTCTGTAAAGATATTTGCATCTCATGTTCATTTTATGCAGAAAAATTTTCTAGTGTGTGTGCACTTTCCCTTTTCATTCGCTGAGTAGCCTTCAGTACATGAACCTGGGGATCCAAGCATTCTTAGAGAAACTGCTCTTTGGTTGTGAAATAACATGTAGTAATACCATGAATACGGTTATTCCTTTTTTTTCTTTCACTGCTTATTAAATTGGAAATAACATCCTACCAATAAAGTGTTTTCTTTGCTTTTCGTAGTTAGTATATAGGCTAGAGTTCTTTTGGTGTCTTCATATCACTGATGTTTGAGAGTAAGGGGAGGACGAAGGACAAGGTCCCTCATACACCTACACTAAGACAAACACACCTAAAGCAATGGCAACCTGCCATGACACTGGGTTAGTTCAGCAAGTGCCACTCTCATCTACACACTTTTCAAACAAGGGTATTGGGGCTTCATTTGCCTTCCTTCCATTTCCTCATGTCACAGTTTTCTCATGGCAGTGAAGCTTCTGATTGTTCTAATTTGTAATATATCTCAAATGCAGACACTTTTCTCCATCTCTAGTGCAGAAATCAGAGGTCATACCTTTATTCAATCCCTATGGATGACAAAGGAGTCTTGCCTGGTTGCTAATTGTCAGTCCTAGAAACGGTCATGCTGTTTTGCATGTGTTAGTTAAAATGATGTTTTAAAAGGAAATATTTTTTTAAAAATCAGGTCATGTAAATTCCCTGTGTAAAATTCTCTTCATTGATCTACAGTTGAAAGTAAATCCAATTGCAAGTCCTGCCAATTTCATCACCTTCCAGCTTCTAGTCTGCACCTGATCTTTTTTCTGGCCTTTCATTCTGTATTCACGTTTAAAAATAGACCACAATTCTCTTTTTCCACTGTTTCTTCTGCTTCTAATACACTTCGATGAATTCCCATAATTCCTGAAAAAGATATTTTTTGTATCATGACTACATCCTAATGCTATTTTCTTTTTAAGTATTAGAAGCAAAGTATTCATTTTGTCACCTCGAATAGTGACTCAGTTCAGTGGTTATAAATATCCACATTTCCAATTAGTTAACATTTACAGCAAATGTCTCTCTTGTTTATCCTTCCAGTATGTTATAATTCCTATTCACTCATGTTGGAGAGATTCAGCACTATTTTGAAGGCTTAAGTGTGTATGTTTGGGCATATTGACCTGCTCAGTGAATTTCTCAAGTGAACAGCCATGATGTGCAGAAGTTACCTCTCAGCACAGCTCCAAGACACTCTGCACCCTCTCCCAGAGAAAAGGGCCCTGGGACCCAGAACGAGGCAGACTGTCTCCCTGTTGCGGTGATAAGCAGCATCTCATTCCCAGGACCAGAGAGCGTCATCCTTTAGGTCTCACGTTAAAAATCAACACTTCAGTGAATTTTTCCAAGAGGCTCCCTGATGGGAGTAACCACTGCAGGAGCTGTCACCAATAATGTCCCTGAACTGTTGCTGATGTTGAAATTTATTTCACTTTGGGACTTTCACTGGATTTACTAAGATTTTTGTTGTCTTCTAACTCAAGAATAGCATCTTAAAGAGAACAAATGACAAGTAGTTAGGGAAAATCTTCCCCTTGTCTTCTTTCACCTCTTTCCATCATAAAAGCTGTTACTGAGATCTGAGCAAAGGATGAAAACACTTTCCCTGCTGGGAGTCTGAACTCTAGTTAACTCTCCAGCTTGTTCCCCTCCTGGAAATCAGATAGACTGAACTGCTCAATGTGTCAATGGTCAGTACTAATTACTTAGTCAATTACTTACAAATACTTAAGAAAAAAGAATCCAGTTTCTTAAGTTGTACTTGGCTTCAGGAGAAAACTATTAATGGGTAGTAGGATTTTGCTTGTGGGGATGTTAGAGACAGAAAACTAAACGTTTTCTCAGTCTGAGATACCCGAGGGAAGTGATTTATTTTTTTCACAGACCTGAATATCAGGATGCTGGCTAACTTGTTTTCTTTTCATGTTTGCAGATACCTATTGTCGCTTCTGGGTGTTCACATGATTTTTTTGGTAGGTCTGTGTCTGTGTACTAATTTTCCCCTGCCAGGAATACTAGTGATATTGGACTAGGGCCTTTCAGTCTGATTTTACATTACCGGAATTTTTCCATTTTATAGCCCCTATTTCCAAGTACAATCACATTCAGAAGTACTAGGGCTTAGTTGGTCCACAAAAGTTTAGGAGACAATGAAGCCCATCGTGTAGATGGACAGGCACATCTGCTGCTTTGAGACAGGAGTTTTATAAGCAATCAGGTAACATTGTCCCTGCTTGGCTCCTGTGCCTCTGCTGGGCTGCGCGGTGGCTCCCACAACAGTGCTGAGCGGGATCTCAAGTGCCTCTTGTTTGGAAAGTCTGTCTGCTGGTTTTCAGTTTGTTTAGTTTGTTTTGTTATACCTTCTAAAGTGACCATGCCTAAGAGGTATTCTCTAGGAAATATTTTGCTCTGTGACTATTAATACTTCAAGACAAGAAGAGGCACTGAATATACTGTACTTATAATCTTCCGGGAAACATCCTCCCACCCAATTTATGTCACAAAAAATTAGTCATATACCGGTTAGTAAAGGTGAAATATTCATGAAGCACATCATGAAGTGATTTTGATGCCATTAAATATCATAGAATATTACACACCACTAAGATGGCAATTGTGTTACTGGGTGATAAAATCTTACAGGACCATCCTCACTTATGCAGCCTGCTAATGACCAAATCATTATCAAGTGCAGGGATACCATTTAATTTTGCAGTTAATACTATAATTAATTTTATATAGGAAATGTTCTTCGTATTTTTTTTTAAAGTTGAATGAAAACAGTCCTACTTTGGGAATTCAATCATTATCTACGCTTTGAAAGGAAGGTGAAACGGTGAGGGGTATCGTTATACCTACAACTTTATATCATAGAAATACATATGCAAATAAAATTGATACAAACATTAAAATATGATTGTTGCATGTGTTTATGGAGAGTGGGAATAATTGTTATCTCAGCTGCATCTTTAGGAAAAACATACCTTTTTCATGCAAGCATGTACTTTCATGACTTAGACTGCATGGCACATAACATTTTGCTTACACATTAAGAATAATTTTGATCTGTGCTAATATGAATGTGCTTCCCAATTTTGTTTATAATACTTGTTGATTATTATTGATTCTAGATATCATGCTAATGTAGTGGAGTTTGTTTTGTGCTTTTGTTCTATTTTTCTTTATTTCGATCTATTTGAAGTCATGCTGCACTCGGGTTCCAGTGCTCTACTTGCTGTTGTGTGGAACTCATTAATAATTCTTATGAAGCTGATTATGCTCATTAGAAATAAGAAAATTAGGTAAACTTTGCCTTTGTTGATGATATTTTTCTTGGAATAATGTTTCATTTTCTAAAAGCATTCAAAAATTATCATTAGAAAGTAATGATAATTTATTCAGGACATTATTATTTTTTCATTTTAGATAGAAATGTCAAAATTAATACCCATGGCTTCTATGCAGGCAAGAGAAATTTAATTATAATTGACAATGCACATATTATGAAAAATGAAAAAACTATAATTTTACACATAATTGCTGTTTTTTATAAAAGCAGTTGTATTTTGAACTTTTCTGATGTGTGGTTCTCTTACTCTCAAAGTATCAAAATGACTGATTCATTCAATATCTTTCTGTAAGCAATGACATTAGGAAATTTTTGCAAGTACTTATGATTGAGGAAATAGCAAGACATGGACTTTAAAACAATGTTCTTGTTCATTTTCTCTGTTTTTTTAATTGTAAAGCAGTAGAGAATTTTCTTGCTCCCTGAGTTTCAATTTCCATTTTCAAAAGTTGTAGGAACTAGATTTTAGCCATATATCTATCTTCCCAAAATTCTATGGTTAGTTGATGGGGCAGATTAACTTAGAGAAAGCAAATCCCACATCATGTCTATATTATCTATAGAAAATAACATATTAATTTAGAGAAAGTACATCATTTATATTGGGATTAGTAGCTCTATGACATATTAATTATAAAACAAAAACAGCAAACCAATGCAAAGATAAATAAATGTATCAGAATTTATAATTACAAATCACTGTGTCTTAGAAAGTTCTGGATTCTGAAGGTAAATAATACAGATTTTCCTTAACACTTTTCAAGACAGCTTAATCGCAAAAGCTATACTCTCACTGGCGACTACGGTAATCATTGAGTATCAACAAGCTGCTTGGCATGCAACATGTTACTCATTCTTGGTGGAACCATGAACATGTACTAGGGTATGTATATTTTATATTGTTCTTAGAAGGTGTCTTTTGGATGAAACTTGCTAAAATAGCAGCTAACATTACATAAACACTTTACAGTTTACAGAACACTTCTGGAGTAATTATGAAAAGAATACAAACCCAATCATTTAGAAACGCATCAATATTTGCAGATATTTCTACAAGTGCTTGTGTGTAATTTGATTTCTGGAAAATGTAACTGAGAACAGAAATACTTAACTGATACGTTTTATACGATCTTGAAGTTCAATTAAAGAAAAGACTATGAATATTACGGGAGGAAGAGTAAGATAATACTTCCTGGCTATGTTTAGTTCTAGCTTACGATAATAAAAGCTAAAAAGAAACTGATGAAATGCATAGAAAATATTATTTGCAAGGCTTGAATTTTCGCTTCTGAAGTCTTGGTCAAAATTTTATCCAATATTTAATGTTTTTTAAAATCTTTAAAGAAAAAGAACAGGAGACTGAGACAATATTTTAAAAAGAGAATGTCATCTTTTGTGGAAATGCATTCCTTGATTTTCCTTGATTCTTGGTATTCTGGTATCCATTACATACTTCAACTGTGAGGTTATATAAATTTGTTCTCTCTCGACATATGTCTAATTGTAAAAGATTGTGCCCCGAAGAGTCTCAGTGCTAACACGGCTAGGGAAAGTTCTGCACATCATCTCAGGGAATGACTCCTGTTTCAATTTACAGTAAAAGGATGTCAAATCTAAGGATTTTACCTGTGGATGTTACCTTTTTACAGTTCCTTCTTATTTGTGCCTTTCTCAATAAGATCTTATGATGTAATTCATTAATCAATCATCCATAAGAGACTAATTACTTGTAATCACCTGAGATTGTTCTTGTCCCTTTAATCACTGTTATTGTTACTTCTTGTAAGTAATGATGTTCTAGTCTTTGTTGTACTTTCATTAGTGCTTCATGGGTCACACACTGGCATCCATTCCTACGTGAAGATTCTTGACACTCTTTTTCACCGCCCTAGCATCACATTGATACTTTTGTTACCTGTTGGTTAACTTCACATAGATGATACTTCACTGATTATTTTCCCATTGTGTGCTGTGTACACTTGCTGTGTATTTAAGGGGATACATAATGGAAGTGTAGCTGAAATTGCTATGTTCATAGGTGGAGACAGAGAGCAGTATGTCTCTGCATACAGTACAAGGTTGGTCTCCCATTGTCTGATAATGTCCTGACAGTTGGCTGTTGGACTCTCCGACATTGTCCATGCCTACAGTTTTAGGAGACAGCTCAGTGGCAGCATGATGCACTTGTGAAAGTTCACAAAAAATACCCATTGTAAAACGGGGGCGGAGGATGAGTAGGGAGGGGAGGGACCTTGGAAATGTGGAGGGAAAACTCCAGTGCCTATTAAACTGTGCCATAAAAACAAAATACTACTAATAAAAACAGAATGTAATCTATAATCATAGGATCATTTCAAAGTGAAACCACTGCCTGGTGACCTGTGAGACTTGGCATTTCTCTCCTTCCCTCATTTTCCCCTTCTCCTTTTCTGCCCCATGAAAGGTGTTATTTTGGAGATCCTCAAGGATACTTTTGAGCCAGGGGCATGTTTGTATGTTATATTTTATTATTTTTAATTTATGTAAAGTGAATAGATTTTACTTTTTTCACTATACAGGTTTAGAAATATTGGGATTTTTCCCTCCCTTCTCTCCCTTCCTGTATCCTCCTGTTATTATTACATAAATGCCTCATCATTTTGTTTGTTTAGCTGTCTCTTTGAGGAACATGTCATAAAGCAATGTTCTTCTAATAATTCCCCAAAGCTTCTGGCTCTATGAAGTTCTTTAGTCCTAAGGCCATGAGCCATTCCATTGCCATTGATTCAATAAATAGTGTTGATGCACCTTAGGCAGCCAGCCTAAATTTTTGTTTCCTCAAAGATTCCATACTATTTTTTTCCCCCATAGTCAGGGTCACATGTTGAATTTTACCTACACAGGCAATTTTTCAAATTCATACCTTCTGGTAACAATGCAATATGCTTTACTACTTTAAAATCATTAGAAAATCAAGTTAAAATGTGTATCTCTTTTTTCAGTTATGATGTGTAAGTGCATTCTTGCTGTGTTGTATACCTTCGGTGATGTTATTACTGGCATACATGGCATAACTTCAATATGTTATATTTGGCTTTATCATTAACTTTTCTTTAACCACTCCCTATTATTTAACAGCCTTGAATAGAACAAGGACTTTATTACACTTGCAGATATTCACATACTATTTCCTTTTCCAGAAACATCTTTGCTTCAATCCTTACTGTTGGACCATCAGATGGACAAAAACACTAACATATAGTATAATGACTGACATGGGTGTAGCTCATTCCTTAACAAAATGCTATTCATCTATTCTTCATACTGAAGATCTACTTCCAGTTTTATGGTGCATCCTAAATGTCTGCAAGTGTCACTCCTTCACGATGAACCATGTTTTTGTCTTGTGCTTTTTTAAAAGATTGATTTATTTTTATTGCAAAGTCAAATATACAGAGGAGAGAGAGAGAGGAAGATCTTCTGTCAGATGATTCACTTCACAAGTGGCCGCAATGGCCGGTGCTGTGCCAATCTGAAGCTAGGAGCCAGGAACTTCTTTCCGGGTCTCCCAGGCAGGTGCAGGAATCCACAGCATTGGGCTGTTTTCTACTGCTCTCCCAGGCCACAAGCAGGGAGCTGGATGGGAAGTGCGGCAGCTGGGATTAGAACCGGTGACCATATGGGATCCCAGCACATTTACAGTGAGGACTTCAGCCGCTAGACCACCACTCTGGGCCTTTTTTTAAAAAACTTTTTTGTAAGATCTTTTTGTAAGATCACTGATCTAACTTCTCTGCTGTTATTCCCATAGGATACCTTCATTTCATTACATTAGCAAGAGGTCTCTCATGAACCACCAACAGCTCAACTTTGGTTTTCCATGAAGATTTTGGATCTTACTTTGTCAAGGATTCAAGAATGTTCAACTATTGACTAATCTGCTTTTCTCCTGCTTTAAAGTATGGTTTTTTTTTTTAAATTCAGGATCTTTTGAACAATATTCAAATGTGAATTTAATTAATCGCCTCTCTCTCTCTCTCTCTCTCTCTTTAGGATAACATAGTTTGGCCTGTGAACCTTCTTCAGTGCCATATTGGCAATAGAGATTATAGAAATAGTTGCTTTTAAATCCGATAACACATTGAGTTCTTTAAATTCTGACTGCAACAATGTTTTTCCTAATGTAATCAGTGATGTGCAATAGGCAAATATCTATCTATCTATCTATCTATCTATCTATCTATCTACCTATCTATCTATCGTCTATCTATCTTGAAAGGGAGAGAAAGAGAGAGAGATCAAAAAAATATATGCAACAGCAATGGCTTGGGGGGCTTGGGCTAGCCAGACTGGAGTCAGGAATCCGGCAAACGTGTCTCACACATGGGTGACAGGGAACCAACTGCTGCCTCCCAGGGCACACATTACCAAGAGACTGGAATCAGGAACAGATTTGAGACTCAATTCCAAGCACTCCACTATGGGATGCAGACCAAATTCTCTTAATTTTCTGTAGACTTACCTTCTCTTTCTGTAGTCTAATTTATCCATGCCTATGGTTTGGACTTCAAAATGTGTAACACATCTTTGTATTTTGATACTGGTTTGTGGGATTACATTATTTTGATATCTGTTGATAGAATCTAGAATCTGTTTCTTTTTTATGTTCCTGGGTTAAAATATTGTCTGTTTTTCTCATTGTTGATTTCCAAGTGTTTGGTATGGTAGGTTTCAGGACTAATTCATATCATCTTGTTGGCTTTTCAGTGCACAAGGGTAGTCCTGGAAGGAGGTGAATGTTTTTAGCCAATCCTGTACACTGCTTGATAAATACTGCTCATTGGTGCAGAACTGCTACCTGGTGCTATCCTTTAATTTAACTAGCATAAAGAGAACAAATGGACTAAAAGGGACCACAAATAGTATTTCAATGAGAGATGGCTGAAATAAAGAATGAATATTTATGAAAATTTCCAGAAATAACCAAAGTCTAACACAAATGAGCATGTAAGATCTGTGTGTGTGATAACTACTCTAATAATTGCCTTAAAATGAATAATTAATTTCAGTTGTATTCATATGGTTATTCATATTCATGAAAGCTTTTCTTAATTATAGGGGTGTTAATAACAATGTACAAAGCTACATCCTATGTCTGACTTAGAGACCAGTCTATCTCACACTTTTTTCAGGGAACTAACTTCCATAGAAAAAAATGTTCGTAAAACAGTTAATTGCCCATTTGACATATTATGCCATATACTCAAGTTATCTACTTGGCAGAAATTACACTTCATAAATTCTATTATATAAATGGGCCCTGTTTAACTTTACCACTTGGTCTGTGCATCTGTCTCATAAAATTCTGTTCATGATCATGAGAATAAGTTAAAAAATGTCTGAGTGGATCAGTGACTATGCATTGAAAATGCAGCTCATAACATGCTCCTCACTGCCAAATTGGCAGTACTACCACATATAAATAAAGAGCTAGTACCATTTCAACACTTATCATGGCATGCAGCTACGGTTTGTGATGGAAAGATCATGTGAAAGTTTTATTCAATTTTTAAATATCTTTAAGTGTAACCCGAGTATGTAGGAGATGAATATATGATGTAGGCAAGCAGTTTAGCAAAAGAAGGAGTGTTGTTATTATACTTTGTATTTTCAAGCTGGGATATAAAGATTAGTAGAATTTTTATGACGAGTTACTTAATTTTTTATTTTTTATTTATTTATTTTTTTATTTATTAGTACATAGAGGGCATTTTTTCATGAATTTCATAGATATGATTTCAGGTTTAC